GATGGGAGATTCCACAGAAGGTCAGTGGAGAATAACAGGGCTAAGATCCTGTGGGACTTCCACATCCAGCCAGACAGACAGGTACTGGCCAATCAACCAGACTTCATGGTAGTAGACAAGGACCAGAAGACAGTGGTGATGATAGACATAGCGGTGCCAAGTGACAGCAACATCAGGAAGGAGTATAAGAAGATGGAGAAGAACCAGGGCCTGAAGGAGGAACCAGAGCCAGTTTGGTTTAGTGGTTAAGGCACCAGGCTAGAAACCAGGACACTGAATTCTAGTCCAACCTGAGGCATGAAAGCCAGTGGGTGACTTTGGGCCAGTCACTCTCTCTCAGCCCAACTCACCTCACAGCATTGTTGTTGTGAGGAAAATAGGTGGGAGAAGTAGTATTAGGTGTGTTCACTACCTTGAGTTATTTGTAAAATAAATAAAATTAAAAAATATATCATAGGAGGATTTGGAATGGACTATTAACTGATAGCTTCAAATATGCATCTTTCTTCAATACTGGAATCATACAAGTCCTCTACCATGAATAGATTGTATAAGTCTATCCACAGATTGTATTAAAAGTACACACAAAAACATGGGACAAATCAAGAGAACCCCTCCTTTAGATGCCGTGAGAGAGACTGAGATATCTCCTGCCTTTTGTAGAGGAACTCAAAGAAGCATACATAGTGCTCCCTCTTGTTTTTCCTCACAACACCTTGTGAGGTAGATTGGGCTAAGAGAGGGTGACTGGCCCAAAGTCAACCAGTGAGCTTCCATGGCAGACTGGGTCTCCTCGCTCCAAGTGCAATACCTTTACCATTACACCACACTGGCTGTCACATATATGCACATGTGAGTGTATAAGATTCATTGTTCTTTTCCAAAGGTCATATGTAATCACATGGTTTGCTTTTGATGTTACTTTGGGGAATGAAAAGCTTGGTCCCCAAGTAAATGTACAGCCAATGTACACATTTGCCAACAATTTTCTTTTCCCATACAATAAAGGAGACTGTAATTTTATGCTGATCATGCAAAATGGTGAGGAAAACATCCCTGTACAACATCTACCTTCCTTCCAGGGGAGATAACTCCTTCAAGTCATCCAGGCAGGGCTTCACATTTAGAAGTTTCTTATATAAAGCCAGGGGAAAGTGGAGGTCCACCACGGTGAAGTTGTAGATAGCCAGACCACAGATGATGCCAATTAGGTGAAACCAATTGTGCTCAACAAAACACTTTAGGCACATAGAAAAAGGGAAAGCAGCATTAGGAGAAAGTCTAGAACTAAAGTCATAAATTTTATGTTAAAAAGCTGCTAACTCTACTTTCAAGACGAACATCTGTTTTGCCCAGCCTTTCTTCACTGGAATACTGAAAATAGCAATCTCAAACTTGGAGAGCTCCAAGTCTGCAGAAGTCTAAATAAGCTCTTGGGTGAATTATCCAGATGAATGTAGCAGCCATACTTACAGTGTCTGAGAACCAGAGCAGATTGGAGTCTGAATAGCAGGTGAACATTCCATAGATGGGATTCAAGAGCTCTTTCAGCAGCAGGAGAAAGAATTCCTTTGTGACCCCACCAGCATCCACGGCTTCCTCACCATCAAAGATCACCTGCCAGAACATGCCAAATTGATTTCAATAAGGGCAATGCCTTAAGGTAGTTTTCATGGGCAGAAGAGAATAACCAACAGGCCTCATTATATTTTGCACTGAGAAATGGGGTGTCAAAGCCATGGCAAATGATCTCACCTCTCTGAGAAAGTCACTGTATTTTATTTATTTTTAAAAAGTTGAACACTACCTCCCAAACAGAGTTTTCCTTCACAGAATTCTTCATTCTATGTGAAGACAATTATTTTGTATGGGTGAAGGATTCCACCATATGGAATTTCACCAGCAATCAGAAATAAAACATACTGAAGCAGCCTGGATTCAGGATGGCTGCTGCTGTGAGAATTAGATTACACTGACAGGAGCTTACCTTCAAAGGCTTTTTCAAGTCAATATCTGAATGGATGCTCAGTTCTCTCAGAGCATCACCAACCAAGTTGCTCCTGCGAACGTGAAGGACCAGGAATGGGTTTCGAGCCAGAAGGGGTTCCAGCGTGAGAAGCATGAAGACATTCTGTAGATTTGCTCCACTAATGGCCACCTAGAAACATTTAAACAATGGATTTCAAGGGAGACTTCCCAACAATTTCCCTCCTCTCGTTCCACTGACATCTGAGGAGAGGAGTTATGTCTCTTTAAGTAGAAAGAAACTGCTCAACCATTAATGAGGCAATCTCAAAAGCTGAGGATATTATTGGTATTGGGCCTGGGCTTTAAATATTAACTTTCTAAAATAGGAAGCAGCTGCTTAGACTCTAGCTCTGTATTTCCCAACTTTGGCAACTTCCACTTTGGTGGACTTCTCAACTATGACCACGCTGGTTGTGAAATTCTGGTACTGATTCCACACATCTGGTAGCTGCCAAGATTGGGAATACTGCCTATGGATAGAAAGGAATACATTCCCAATACTGAATTTTTCCATTCTTTTCAGAGCTAAACAGCAGAAAGAATTACACCTATTATGCTAGATAGCAAAACTTCTTCTAATCATCAACACTTTGAGCTGTAATTCATTATCCTTCTTCCCCCACAACCCTATCCCCCAAGATGTTCATATGCAAATGGGAAGAAAGGAGGGTCACAGAATTTTATGGTTTTATGAATAATAACCTATCTTTAAAAATATTCTGTCCATGATTATGGGATCCTTTCATGTTAGTTATCTATAATGGTCTGTGGGAAAAACCTTGGGAGACAGGGCAAAGCGATGCTGCCTAGGGAACGCTCAGATAAGAGACAGCATAGCCCACAGCTGAATAGTGGATGGGGCAAGAGGTTCAGAAGGGACCCTCCCTAGTTTCTTGGGCTGTAAAGGAGATGGTGGGAAAATTGTACTTTCAGCCTTGCAAGATTCTGCTAATGTAACTTTACAATAAAGTATAATTAGCTTATCTGGTCATGTTTCCTGTCTGGTCTACCTGGTAAGGCTAACAATATCCAACATGCAAAACCACACAAAATACATTCAATAAGGTCAAGAACTGATTGTTCTCAAATCAAATCCAGCCTTCTTGAATGTAACAATTGCACACCTTCCTATGCTCTAGCTGGGGGGGGGAGGGGGACACCTGTGCTGATCTAAAAACCTAACCCATCCTGGTTACTGCTTGGATGGGAGACCACCAGAAGTAAATCAGTTTGCAGGTTACAGTGAGAAACTTCAAAAACAAGGCACTGGGAAGCCACTTCTATACTGTTGCCAAGAAAATCTACATAAGCATGTCCATGAAGTCACTGAGAATAGCTCAGCTTTAAAGAACTAAGCTTACTACTCTTTAAGCCATCTTGTAAGAACCTGTTAACTAGGTTCCCTCCAAATAATCTCATCAATGCCATTCAAGTTGGCAGGGGAGATACCATCATCATAATTTTCATTTTCCTTCTCTTTGGAGGAAAACGAAGTAGTAGCTATTCTTTGCACTAGTGCCATCTCCTGGGAAATGCAAACAGTGACTCAGGATGGATTCTTGCCCAGCAAAAGGCAGAATTCAGCTGTAGATACAGCAAAAATATTGTTCTGCCATCTGGGGTCACTTCTGGCACAACAGTATTTTACACATACGCATAGGGTAATAATTAGTAGGAGAAAGTGATCTATTGGGAGGTAATCCCCCAAGAATTGAAGTCTGAACGGATAGCAACTGACTCTTACATTCTAACAGGTAGAACATTCCATTTTTAACATTTTCTAATCTGAAGATAAATGTTAAAAGAAAAGAAGACACAACCATGTTTTTAGCAACTACCCATTGTCATGAAATACGGCATTACAATATTAGCAGACTACTCCAGATTAATAGACTTTCCAATGAGTACAATGGAAGCTACTCCTTATTAAGCATGTATGTTAGTTGAACTTAGATTCCACTGAAACCAACAAAGCAAGTTAGTCATCATGAGGATGAGGATAACAATGACTTTATTTTTAATTAAGTTTTAAATTTACAGGAAGCAGGTAGTCCTTGCTTAATGACAATACAGACCGGAAAATTGGTTGTTAAATGGGGCGGTCATTAAGCGAGTCATCACATGACTGGGCCCAATTTTACGACCACTTTTATGATAGTCATTAAGCGAATCACTATGGTTGTTAAGTGAATCACGTGGTCATTAAGCAAATCCAGCATCCCCAATGGACATTTTTTTGCCAGAATTTGCTTAATGACCATGTGATTCACTTAACAACCTTGTAATTCACTTAACCATGGTGATTCACTTAATGACCATTGTAAAAAAGGTAGCAAATCATGCTCATGTGACTGTTGGGGGTGGTGCAACAGTTGTGAGTGCAAGTACAGGTCATAAAGCACTTTTCCAAGGCCACTGTAACTTTGAACCATTGTTAAATGAACAGTCGTTAAGCGAGGACTACCTGTACATTTAATTTTCCTGTAATTTTTATATAGACAGTTACAATTATGCCTATCTCATATAAACAATAACCATCTCACCACTATCCTTCTTGGATATCCATATCAGCAGAGGAAATGACAGCAAATTAGAAACACAAGTCTATCAAAAAACAACCCACACTAACTGCACTAACCAAGTGCTCCATTACCAAAGTAACAACCCAACCTCCCACAAGAGGAGGTGTCTAAGAACATTATTCAGATGAGCACAAACACAAGGGTTTCAGACCATCATTTCTGAGTAGGCTATACCTTCCACAAATTAGTCATGATATAAATCAACATATGCAGCTTTTTGTAAGCTGAGCTCATATTTGGCCTGCTAAGGGACTGCATTCCAGGAAGTAGTAGATATAGCCACAAAAAGAAATGTATCTGATTTCATTTAATTTACATTTAACAAATTTCCCCTTCTGTTAGATTAAAAAACACAACTTTTGGAAAACTCTGGGAGTCACATCCAAGGTAGGAAGGGCGGTAGATGACTCAGGTTGTGCACAACTGATGTAAATGAAGATCCATACATTTCAAAGGCAAATCAAGCCACCCAATTTAGCCTGGATTGAATGAAGAAACCAACCTTTCTAACCCATTGCCCCCAAACACATTAGTGATGTTGGTTAAGGCTAATGCAGGTGGCCAATCATATCATCCGGAGGAGCAAATCTGTTTCCAAAAAGAAAAGATAGGGAGACTGAAAGAAGGCAAGGTACCTGCATTTGCAGTTCAGCATCTGTCTGCAACATCTTGGTCTTGGCTTGTGCATCAAAGATAAAAGGGTAAGAGCACAGAGTCACAGTATCCTGGAAAGAAGGAACAGTTCAATTTAATGGTGGCAGTTTGGGATTCCAGTGAGAACTACTTTGGCAAGAGTAACTGGAATTTTTACCTGCATGATAGATGGTCTTACTTTCTGTGCAAGGGAAAAGGGAGAGGAGAGAAGGAAAAGAAATATAAACAGCATGAGCTTCCAACAAGTGCATCATCAGTTATTTTTCTATCCCACTCTTGCTCCAAAGAAGTCAACAGGATACATACATGTTATTCCTCCTCTTAGACCAGTGTTTCTCAACCCTTGCCTATTCCAATCTTCCCAATCTAGACACTGTCTAGTTCAGTGTTTCTCAACCTTGGGAACTTTATGATGTGTGGACTTCAACTCCCAGAATTCCCCTTAAGGATTATCCATTAGCTGCTAGAAATAGGCCTGGCCAGAATGACATTCCTTCACTTTTTTCTCCTTCCTTTTCAGTTTCAAAGAAATAGTTTATCATTCAGCATTAAAGACAGAGGCAATCATTGTCAAAAGTCATATTACTGTACTGAAGATTCACTGAGCAAGTAGTTTTACTGTTCTTCGTAGCCTGGCCACAGCCATTCAATTAGCCTTCAGCCCATTACAGATTGGCCACAACCACTACATATACCTGGGGATATAAGATTTAGCACTATCAGAAACACAAGATGTTCTCACCCTTTTAGGAATGGGTTAAAAAGATGCCTATACCCCTCCTTGTAATTTATTAACTACAGGGAGTCCCTGGGTTAAGAACGCCTGTGTTACAGACGACCCATAGTTAAGAATGGAGCCTACTGTAGCAAAATTCGAGTTACATACACAATTGTTGGAGTTCATTACACAATACTACTTATACAGTATTATACAATAATACTGTTCCAGCTGCATACAAATTCGACTTAAGGACAGACCTTGGGAACAGAACTCGTTCTTAAACTGGGGATTGCCCGTACTACATTGCCTCTTCAATCTACCGCACATTCCCCATAACTATTTTACATACTCTAGATAGTCAGATCTTGAAATGAAATTATTTGCATATAAATGACTTGCATAAAAACTTTGCAAAATTCACAGTTGGGTAGCGTTCTGTTTTGATACAGGGTGCATGGAACTTTCTAATTTAACTAGATCCTGGAGTATTATTTAGCATGTCCAAGTAAACAAAGCCTCTTACCATTCCAGCTTGACGCAAAAACCACATCAGGTAGTCTTCCTGAATATCTATCAAATTAGAAATCTCTGGGATATAAAACTTGTCATACTCTATGTGCTTAGCTTTCTGATTTACCTGATATGGAAAAACAAACAAACAAACGAAACGGAATAACACAATGAACAATTTATTCACAGAATTCATACAAATCCCAAAAAGAAGGCTAATTGTATGAAAGGATGACTTTGCCAGTTCACCTGCCCATTAAGTTAATTTCCTCTAGTATGCCCATCAATTTGCACAGCCAACACAAAAAATGCATTCATGTTTTCAACCGTTTTTCTCCTAGTGGCACATAATTTTCCTTAATAAAATACAGTCTTGTACCTCATTTGCCCTACAAAAATATTTTCTCTGCTTTTTTGCCAAAGTGTCTTGCAGAATTTGGAAATGTGTAAATACTGACATTCCTTCTTTCATTTTCCACAGAGGTTCAGGAAAGGCAAAGTAGGTACATAATGACAAGAACAAAAACACCACTAAGAGACCTAAAATCCAAGTTGAAGACAGTTTATTCTGGAGAAAATCTATCTGTGCATTGGCTGAGAGTTAACACTGACCTGATGGCACTTAATCAATCAATCAATTTTTCACTCAGCTTAGCTTAAAAGCAGCATTTACTAATTACCTAATTAAAAAGCTGTAGACAATAACTTTATGGCAGCACCGTCCAGCACAAATCCTATGCCAGTTGGAATACGTGCAAACAGAAGTTGCAGTATTTGGAAATTCATGTCTGCCTTACGGCTTATCCTAATCTGGTGGTTTTGGAATATATTCACTCTGTACTATAGTCCAACACACCGGAGGGTACCATATATACCGAGACCAACGTAAATCTACAGAGTCAAATATACAAGGGCTTCAACATATTATCTGCACTACACAAAGTGAAAGTATGGAAAACCATACAATTCAGGACTAAAATCATCAGATTCTATATACACAATGCAAATACGAGACCCAATGTACAAATGGGGTGGAGGTGGGGAGTGGGAAAAACAACCAGAAGCACCATCATTGAAGAGCAATGTATACAGACTCAAAGAATTGTTTTCTTACTTTATGAAGTTTCTCCAGAAGTTTTAGTGCAGCTGTGATGTAACTGCTGTACAAGACCGGGATCAGCAATGTTTTTTTCCCATTCAAGAGATAAATCACAGCACCTTTGTAGAGATCCACTAGCCTCAAGAAGTACCCTGGGCATACCTGAGACCACCAGTTATCTAAATAAGATTACATAAAGCAAAATGGGTTATTGACTTCAGTACTGAGATGATGGAAAATGGAAAAATGAACATGATGGCTGCTGTCCTCATTTTTCATTTCCCGGGTCTAGGATCTCAAGTATCTTCAATGTATTCAGATTTGTACTTTTGGGAAAAATCAAAAATAGAGATGCACAGCCCAATCTTAGGCAAGTTTGGTTGGAAGTGAATCCTTCTGAATCATTACATCTGAATGCCTTCCGTAAGTTTTAACGCTATCAAGGGAAGCTGAACACTCCTGTTCAGCTTCATGATTCACCTTTCAACAACCAAACTCCTCTTTTATATTTGTTTTATGAAACAAAGATGAGGGAATGGTAATTTGGAAGAGATTCAAAGGGCAAATGATGAGACTATTTGTATCCATTATTGTTATGAGTTTACAACACCAGTTGAGATTCTAAATTATGGTAAAAATGCAATGTTCCATAAGACTTAAAAAAAAATTTTTATCCTGCCTTTATTATTCTTTATAAATAACTCAAGGCAGCAAACATACCTAATACTCCTTCCTCCTATTTTTCCCCACAACAACAATCCTGTGAGATGAGCTGGACATAGAGAGGGACTGGCCCAAAGTTACCCAGCTGGCTTTCATGCCTAAGGCTGGACTAGAACTCACAGTCTCCTGGTTTCTAGCCTGGTGCCTAGACCAGTGTTTCTCAATCATAGCAACTTTAAGATGTGTGGACTTCAACTCCCAGAATTCCCCAGCCAGCAAACTGGCTCTTTGGGGGGAATGCTGGCATCAGAAGGCATGCCAGCAAAATGCATATTGAACAATGGAGTAATTTGGAAGTGCCATCTAAAGAGCAACATATACCTGACGAGGATGAATGCTATGAGTGCTATGAATTACCCACCACTTGATCCCTCAATTTCATTTCAACTACTCATTTCTGACCGCTTAAACACAGCACTTTTTGTCCCTTTCCTCCTGGAAAAATGTCTTGGTTGCTGCACACACAAGTAAGTTTGAGGTGATGGTCAGGACTGGTGAAATGGAAGGTGATATCATAAAAGCACTGTTGGCAATGTCCACAACCAAGGAAGACCACAATATTACTACATGGTTCCTATAGGGAAGTTCTGTAGAAGTGCTGTAGACATAGCATACTACCTAGCTCTCACTCTAGACCCAAGTTAACCAAGGAATTTAAGAGAAAGCGGTCAGAAGACTTAACTGGGCTGAAGAATAAGTGGCAGTATTTCCTGGCATTTCACAGAGTTGATATAAAACATATCTGTGACTTATTTTGTCCTCAAATCAGTGTAAGACAGCCCACGCCCAGAAAAGAGGTGCACATCTTCTACCTAAAACTTTACTGGGATTTTTGTCCAGGCGCAGTATGGCCATTGCCAAAGGAAGCGTTAAGGTTACATAGTATTTTGAGTCTTGAAATAGAGGAAATTCTGGAAGAATCAGATAGATTCTCATGGCTTCAACATCTGGCGGGGAGCTAGGCAGCTGGGGGATCAAAAAGCTTTCAAAGCTCTTCAAGATCTGGAAAAGAAGAAAGAAAATTAGTCATGGACTATAGATCTTATTACTAGCTCTTCTATTATGCTTGTAGTTTCTAGGACTTAATTCAGCTTAATTCTAGTAGTGTGAACTCAACCCAAGAAACTGAAACAGGTGAGTCATTTACTTAGTCCTTTGAATTCTATGAAGACATGAGACATTTCCATTTGTTCTATAATCCTATCCATAAAGAAAAGGCAGAGGGATGTATCCGGTTCTGCCCCTTGTAGTCCCAAAAGGGAAACTTTGCCCTAAAACTGCAACCACATTCAACTGAAGGCAATTTTAACATTTTGCATAGACAGCTTATAGTTCACAATGATTTGAAGCACTCCAGCTATGTACGGTTAAATAGGTCTACTGGTTCCCAGCAGACCTTCCCCACAAAGACAGGGAAGCTAGGAGTAGAGCTATGGTGTGTGCTGGCAGGATTTTATCAACAGCATAATGAATGGGCTGTGCACAACTTGCACTACTACTTGCCCACTGGAGCTGCATTAATGACACCAAATTAAAAAAAGCTAAGAAAGCTGCATGACCTGGGCCATCTAACTCATACAGAATGCTTTGGTAAAATAAAGTATTTCCCTCAGAGAAAGTTCAAAGAATGACAGTCTTTTTTCAATAAGCCTTTGCTATAGTTTTGGCAAGTGAGGGGATTGAATATTCATGTCTGTGTGTGTGTACACATGTACTCTCTCTCTCTTTCCAATGTTCTATAACTCCATTTCTTGTGCTATCAGGGTCAACAGGTAACACAGTCTGCAGCAGAGAAGCTTTGAGTTGGAAGAACACTGATAAACCTCTCATGATCAATCAAATCCATAATACTAGCCCTATCTTTCTGGATGACCTATGGAGAGTTTCCCTACAACTGCCTTCTACTGTAAACTCAATTATTTCCCCAAAATAATTCCTAGGACGCTTTTAGAAAAAGTCATGCTCTTTTTCTGAGCAAGCTCATTCCCAATTTTTCCAGCTCATAATTTCCAGCCTTTGTGTTGCAGCCCCCTGTTCCTAAAGCTTCCTTAATAATGGTTTGCAGAATAGTGGCCTCCTTCACATGGTAAATCATGGCTTGTAAAAACAGTATCTGTATTTACAAATCTCACTTGGCCAAAATCAAATAAATCACATTTGTGGCTCAATATGATGTGTGAGCCAGACCTTGCTCAGGCCAACAGAAAGGGCTCTCAGCATTGGGCTGATTTGCAGGGTTTCCATCAGCATCCAAGGTCTTACATTTAAGGCACAGACCAGCCTTTCCCAGCCTCATGCCTTCCAGGAATGTTTTTTTTTCTGGTAATGCTGGACACAGATTCTAAAAGCTGAAATCTAACATACTGTATCTGGAATGCATCAGATGGGGAAGGTTAGCACACACATTTGTAGCTTGTTTTGTTTAGTCGTTAAGTCGTGTCCGACTCTTCGTGACCCCATGAACCATATCGCGCCAGGCCTTCCTGTCCTTCACTGCGTCCCTGT